AGTGTGATGTTTTTTGAACAATAATTAAGCTGACACATTTCTTTACATTTACAGTTGTGTATACACTGATACAACAACAAAGCAAATGAATGATGATATGCTCAACTGAAAAAAAGAACAGACCACCCATTATTATTATTATAATTATTGTTATTGATGCACACACACACACACACCAGAGTACAGTACACAATGTTTTATTTCTTTGTTTTGTATGTATACTAAACAGTATGAAACACAACACATGCCTCACATTGATAGACTTATCTATTCATTCACCTACTTCTATCTTTGATATAACGTGAAATGATTTGAGTGAGACAGTAACAACAGTGTTTGGTGCCCAACCAACTCATTGGTACCCAGGAGGTAAGCGTCCATGTGAGAAGACTGAGGCAGGCGACGAAGATTGTATTATGCAAATTTACACTCTAAGTTAGTTAAAAACGACAACATTACATTGAACACTACTCTATTTGCACACCATCTTTGAGTTGTGATTTCCAACACTCCATCCTTCTTCCATTCCTGTTGGTACTCCATTCACTTCTTGCTTTTGCTCCATTTGCTTTCCGTTTTCCTCTTCTGACCGTGAGACTTCTTTCACGTCCCTTCTTATACTACTTATATCGTTCGTTTAAGTAGCACACACCACACATGTACCACACCGAATGACCCGGTTTCGAATCCAATGCGAGTAGTGGGGGGGTTCGTGTTATAATGTCAAACTTTGACCAATTCAAGGGCTTTACGTAACCTCATCCATTGTTTTTGACAGTTACTGCTCCCAAACAGGATTGAACTCCACTGGCCACATCTTCTTACTAGAACCCCGAGAATTTCCTTATGAAGCTAATCACTAGTACTTGATCAGAGTTAGACAGAGGTTAAGCATTCTTGTATGCAACATCGAAAGTCCTACATTCGAATTCTGTACGAGTATTGAGAGTTCATGCATGTGCATGCATTGTCACTGATGAGTCCCATACTATGTGACGAAACAGTTGTCTTTCAATGCTTCCAGATTTCTTTTTTTACTGTAGTCTACCAATTATGGATTGATGATTTTCAAAAAAAGGAGGATTGGTCAATTCACCATATGTGTTTGTGATGACAATTCATTGTTTTTTTTAATATATATTTCTTTATATTTCAGTTTTTCTTTGTGTGTGTGTGTGTGCGTAGTGTGCGTGTATATATGTGTGTGGACGTATGTTCGTATGCATTTGTGTGTGTGTGTGGTCAATGAGAACTAATTATCTTCTGTATGTTTTGAATAAAAATCTCAGTTAGATAAATAGATAGATAGATAGAGAGATAGATACGTATGTGTATGCTTTGTTTCCCCATGGGTCAACAATGTGAAGAATAATTATTGAGATGTAAATGTAAAATATCCCATGAAATGTACTGTACTGTAGCGTACTGCACATATTCACAACAATTGAAAGTGAGCGAGTGAGAGAGAATGGGAACGATAAATAGTATGCCCTACCTTCTTTGTTATCTTCGTTATCTTCATTAGTAGTAATCGTAGTACTAGTAGTAGTAGTGTTACTATTATTACTATTATTGTTACTTTTATTACTAAACTAAACTCCTACTTTCATCGCTTCCCAACCCCACACCGCCCAACAAACAAAATTAGTCAGTCAGTCAGTCAGTCAATCAATCAATCAAGTTAAAAAGCATTTTTCTCTACCATGAATATGAAACAAAGCTTAAAAAAACATCTACCTGTGTGTGTGTGTGTGTGTGTGTGTGTGGTTTTTGATCAATTGTTTGAAAGTTGAGAGACAAACAAAAAACCAATGCGGGTGGTACAGTGGAGTAGTGTTTCTACCACAGTTAGAAAATAAATACTTGAAACTATCAAAGAGAGATTAGAAAAGGAACTGACAGAATATAATTCATATTCGGATAATGGAGACAATGTTTTGTGTAGATTAGGTGAATGAATGATTATGATGAAGTTACGTTTCTCTCTGAGTTTGGGGATATGGTTTGGTTGTGAAGCTTTCATTAACAGCAAAGAACTTCGTAAGAAGAAGAAGAAGTGAGGTATTCCAATCGTACACATGGAGAAATTCGAATACTTCAATTCTTCTAACCGAAGTTTGTGCTGATGCTGAAGTTGATGATGATGATGAGGTCAGAAGACGAAGAACAATCATGAAAACTGCACAACCAAACCACATCCGCCAAACTCAGAGAGAACGAAACTCCATCACCATAGTCATCTGGTTGTATTGCAGATAGTATTTTTGAAGTCTTGTCTTATTTGATTTTAAATTGAGAAAATACTATTTTTTTTCATTAGGCGGTTGTGAAGATAGTTGAGTTTCATTCATGAATCATGAATCCATCCATGTTAGACCATTATTTGAAACCTGTAAGTACCGGATAACTGTTTTATCGTAGTATTATGGGGCTCATCAGCAGTGTGCATCCATGACCATGATTCTAGTGATAATCTGTGACCCCATGGAGGGTGAGACAATGTTATACACTGAAGACAATGGGTCAGGTTGAACAATGTCGTGGACTGACTGGAGTTACACGTTAATGCTTTTGGATATTGGCTCAGTAGTTTACAGGTTAAGCGTTCACACTTGAGATTGAAGGTTTTGGGTTTGAATTCTGCATGTGGGGGTATCTTGGGGCTTTGGATTTTCAGGATTCCAAATCAGGGCTTGTTTTATTATGCGGTTGTGTGATTTTTCACAATTCAAGCGCCTCTTCCTGATTCATTCTTCCTCTGTAATCCCGATTTGTTCTCTCCTACAGTAGACCAACGTATCCTTGCGTAGACAGACAATGGCTTTCTTAGTTCTCCAAGTTTTCACTCCGCATAGTAGAATTATCTTGATATTTGTATTGAACATCCTGGTGTTGATTGATTGTGGTTTTGAGTTGCAGATGTCTTTCTATTATAGAAACGCTTCTTTTGCTTTACCGATCAGTGGCATCAGATATCCCTTGTATTTAAAGGCTTTCCACATTCTCAAGAGCTTCTGCATCACATGTAATTTAGTCGCTACATATTTTGTGTTGTATCTTACGCGACACTAACTGTTACACACTAGACGTTCTCTCTTGCATTTACTTACTCTCTATGACTGTAACAGAAGAGTTATTTACATCACTAGTTTTTTTTATGGGTAGGTGAGAGGGGGATTGTTATAAAAGTAATTGTTACTTCATTCATAAGATAACAAAGAAACTATTGAATCGATTTTTCAAATGAACACAAAGACCAATAATAAACACACTCTTATTCATTACACTAATGATGTTGATGATGAGGGTATTGTTGATGAAAACAATACCGTTTGATTTACGTATACTGGATACTTTCTCCCTCCTCCCCCTCCCTAATACCTATGCAAGCGCAATCAGGTTGCATGTGGTCGTTGATTGATTTCGATTACTATTCATTCACAAGTTGTACACACATTACACATTACACATCGATTAAGTACACTTTACACACACACACACTCTCACACACACTCCGTGTAAGTAATCATCTGAACATTCATTCAAAAAAAACCATAAAACAAAGAGAGAGAGAGAAAGCGAAAAAAAAACAGGTGTTCAGGTCACGTGTCATTGTCTACTAATCAGAACGTATGTGTAATCATCAGTATATTACAATAGTAATAATCGAGAGATAAAATCATAATTAATACGGCATGAACTCCACCCTTTATTGTATCGGAAAAAGAGGAACAACACACTGATTACTACGGATTATGTAACTCCTTTTTGATTGAGGTCGACCTACAGTGCTATTATTATTATTATTATTAATTGGGCATTAATGTCAAAATACAAAGCTGTTGATGATTATTAGTTTTTATGGGTTTTTTTTCAGTGCAAAAAGGTTTTCTCATATGGAATCATCTTATCATTGTTTTCTGTAAAACACAGAGTGAGAGAGAGAGTTCTTATTTGCCAACAATTTATAGACAGGCTATATAATAAATGTGTGTGTGTGTGTGAGTGTGCACATTGTGTGAAGCGATCGAGCGAGAGGTAGAAGGGGAATGGGGCAAAAAAAGAGAATACAGTCTCTATCGTTGTGTGCGCATGTGTGTTTATCATGATGTACATGTATGTACAAGCACTGAACATTGAATTTTCCTTTATTGGTAGGGAGAGATTCTGGTGCTAGTGTGCAGTTTTCTAGTTGGTTAATTTAAAAAGTGCAATTCTCTCTCTGTGTACAAAATATGATATATATTATTCTATCTCTCACTCGTTCACTCATTCACTCACTCATTCAGTGTTTGTGGTTAAAAGTTTCTAATGTAATGCACCATGTTTTTTTTAATTTCTTCATATCAAAGCAACACATGACCTTGTAAGAGATAGATAGATAGATAAATCAGTCAACAACAACACAGAAAAAAAAACAACAGAATAAATGAAGTAATAATAGGGAGAGTATAAAAAAAAGTGAATTATCCTGTCAATGAACTAACTATGTGTGATTCTCTCGCTGTGTGTGTGCGATTCTGTGTGTGTGAGTGTGTGAGTGTATATTCATTTTCTTTCTCTCTCTCATTTTCTATGTAAAACAATGAAATCACAATTTTAATTTCACAATTCTATTCACAGTCATCATCAGCATCAGCATCGTCAGCGTCGGCATCAAGTTATCCCATTTCCCTGTCGCCTTATCAACAACATTTAGCAGTACTAGTCTCACTTCTGTATGTATTGTTCATTTAAATGAAAACATTGTTTATGTGTGAATTGTGTAATTTATAACATTAATTAATAATAATAATTAAAATAATCCTGAATTTATTTTTATTCACAATGAGAAACGTAATACATTAAAACAATTAATTGAACATTTAACAGTACTCATTCAGAAAGAAAAAAATTATTGAACATTGAACACTGAATACGCCTATATTGGATTATTTTTACTACTTGTTTCAATAAGAGAGACTAAGTAAGTAAGTTAATTTTCTTGTTCATTTCTGTAAATGTTACATGTGAGTATTATGTAGATCGTAGTTTCATTGTTAGACTCCAGTACTAGAAACCTAGAAGAAGCACTGAAAGACAGCTGTTTTGTCCTTTGGCGTAGGACTCATCAGTGACAGTGCGCATCCACGACTCAAGATTTAGACTCCAGGACCTTCGGTCTTGCACTTGAATGTCTAGCCTCTGAACCATTGAGCTGGCTAGGCAGCCGACTTTGTCAATGTCCAACACTGATCAATCTGTAAATTTACAGACATTGTTTTTGATACTAAACAAATTGTTTAATATTGTAACATCATTTAGGTAGAGTAGGTGTGATAAAAACACCTGTCTAATTACAACAGACTTAATAATTGAAAACTGAAATATGTTTTAATGGGAATATTCATTTAATTTTTAGTTTTTTTCAGCAGTGAACGCATTACTCAAGTACTTACTTACTTACTTACTTACCTACTTACTTACGCCTTTTACCCTTAACAGAAGAACAAAAGCCGATGACTAGTAATCTCCGATGAACTATGTCTTCATAACTCTTTTTTGCAGTTGTTACCAAATGCTGTTCCATTTTAATTCTCTGTGCAATTTTTTTCATACTTTGATCCACCTCTTCTCATTTCACTTTGAGTACTCTAAGTTAAGGCTAATAATAATAATAATAATAATAATAATAATAATAATAATAATAATAATAATAATCGATGGTTACAGACCCTGAATGACATGGCTCAAAATCGTTCGCAATGGCGCCGGTGCATTTATGCTTTGTGTTCTCTCAAATCCTAATCTTCTGGATTCTTCAACACCTCTAGTTTTGTCTTTCTAAACTTATCTCACTGAATTATACTTCTTGAATAATATCTTCTCATCCTAACCTCTCCGATTACTTCTAATACCTTTACTATCTCTTCTACTATTGGATTTGACTTGACAATTACATCTCTGTTCTGATGCGGTATGGCAACATGAACTGATGTACTTACGTACGTACGAAGTTCTACGTTGCATCTGACTGACTGACTGAGTTAAGGCTTGCCTTATGACTCATTTCGATGATTTCCAACTGAAGCGTTTTTGTCCCTAATTTATTCCACAACAAGAGGCTAGTTTGCTCTCAGTCACAGTAGAGTTATTTTGCTCACACTGATGCTCATCAACGATTTCCGCTTGGAGTTCATCTAGAGAGGTTACTGCCGGTCAACCTCCTCCTTTTCTTTTTTTCTTCTTCCTCACTTCTTACTATTCCAAAATGTTTATTCATTCATTATTCAAAAATCTAACAATAAAAGACAAAGAGTGAAACGGCAACAATGTATTTGTTTACATGTATAATATATCTGTGCGTGTGTACATGTGTGTGTGAGTGTGCGTGTACGTGTGCGTGTGTAATGATATGAAACAAGTGATCAGAAAAAGGAATTGTAATTAATCAGTTTGATAAAATCATGTCTATTCGTTGTTAGTTTTGTTATTAGTATATCACTGAGAAGAGATTGTTGACGTTTTATTGAAATCATGAATTGATCAATGTTAGAAAACTGGAAAAGTACTACTAGACGGTTGTTGCATTCTCTAGCTGTATACATCCATACCACCTTCCGCCCCTCGCCGCATGCGATTTTGGAACTTGGCACTTTTGGTCTTGTACACAAATACTTGATCTCTAGACCATTATTGACCCGGCACCCGACAATGGTGATGTCTAAGTTAGATTATCCAACCATTTTGTGAAGTCTTATTAATTGTATTCGTTGGGTAACTACTACCTTTATATATATCATTCCTGCAAGAAAGACATGATCTTACTTACTGACTTACTTACTTACTTACTGACTGACTTACTTACTTACTTACTTACTTACTTATTTACTTACTTACTTGCTCACTTACTTATCCACTTACTTACGAACTTACCTACTCAATTACTTACCCACTTACTTATTTACCTACTGACTTACTTACTTACTTGCTTACTTACTTACTTACTAATTCACCCCTGTTATCAGTCGTATGGCATAGGCTGCCGACCACGATTCCCCAACGAACTCTTCTATCGTGGACTCTTGTTTTTAGCTGTTCCTAAATGTGTTACTGATTTTTTTTGATGCCTGTTTACCATTTCTGACACAATTAGTTCTTTGGTCTGCCTCACTGACTTTTACCTTGAAGCATCTAAGTCAAAATCTATTTTATGACATAATCCCATATCTTATTCATCTCCTAATGTTTGTTCTTAATTTGTTATTCAGTTGAAAACTGACTTAGTTTCTCCTACAGTAGATTATTACTAATAATGTTCAGTCCAACGAATCTGGAATATTTTGAGTCAACACAAATGTTTCTCATTAATCGAACTTTTCCATAGTTCTCCAAGTTTTACTAAACCACTAATCATCGATTACTCTGTGTATATATAAAAATAGCAAATATTTTTTAAACTTACATTATGCGATCTTTTTTTTGATAGATGATGTAATCAAATCGAAACATTAAGTTTGTTTTGTTTAAATGAATCAATTCATCACCTTTTGGGCGCTAGTTTGTATTGTGCGAAATTTTTAAAAATAAAACAGAAGAGGTCAATAAACAAACAGTATTTGTTATATTCAATAAAATAATCATCATTAGACTATACTTGTAGTGAACGAGAACACAGGTGAGGGCAACCGAATTGTATTTAACAAAAAAATTACAGAGTTTCTCAGTAAAATCGGAAAAACCATAACGTAAATCGTTCATTTGCAAAATATCAGTTCATCATCATATCAAACTGGACTGTTCCTGTTGCAAAACATCAATCCATTGTCACTACTATTCATGCGTTTCATACAAATACCATTGTGTTCCCCCCACTCTTCCTTTCTTGCTTGATCTTCCCCCCCCCATCTTCTGCTGCCAGACATTATGTTGACACTCACGTCATATACTACTTATAAGTAGCTCACACCACATACTGTCTTATATTTACATGAATTTGTATATTTGAAATGTTGGAGAAAAATTGTTTGTAGTTCAGGTGTAGTAGGATTGTGATGAAGCATTGTTCTTTTTTAAGCTAAAGGATGTGGTTTTTGATTGCGGAGAATTCATCATTGTTCTTCTCCTTCTTCTGAACGCAACATGATCAGTAGTATGAACTTCAGTTAGAAGAAGTGAAGTATTCGAATTTCTCCCCATGTATATGACTCGTAGCTTGTTCTGTCTAATGGTTAGAGACCTTGAATGACATGACTCAGAATCGTTTGCAATGGCGCAAGTGCATCCACTCTTTGTGTTCTATGAAATTCTAACCTCCTGAATTGCTCATCATCTCTATCTTTCTCCTTCTAAATTTATCTCACTGAATTATACTTCTTGAATATTATCTTCAAATCCTAATCTTCTCCATAACTGCTAATACTTCTACTATCACTATCACTCTTGGATTTAAACTGACAGTTGCGTCTGTGTGCTAATGTGATATGGCAACCTGAACTGATGTACTTACGTACGAATTTCTGCGTTGTATCTGTCTGTCTGTAGCTTATTCTGTTGACCTCGATATAGATATACAAAACATACGTGGAGAAATTTGAGCACTTCACTTCTTCTAACTGAAGTATGTGCTGTTTGGAGAGAATAAAACTCCATCATCATTTGTACTTTTACTTAATATGATGTGACGTAATGAAGTGACGTAATCTCTATAATATTTACTTGTTTCTGTTCATTTGGACTTATAATCAATTCTATTGATAAGTGAAACATTTTCATTTGTGTATGACAGAGAATAAAATTTTGATTATGACGATAATCTAATTGAAATTAAAAATATATTAGTCAAATTAGCATTTAAAAAAAAAATAAAGTTACTTACTTACTTACTTACCCCTGTTACTCCACAAATGGAGCATCAGCCGCGCACCAGTTTTCTCCAACCAACTCTGTCCTCGGCTTCCCTCTCCAGTTCTGTCCAATGTTTGTTCATTCTTCTCATGTTTTTCTCTATTTCTCGGTGTAATGTATTCTTTGGCCTTCCTCTTTTCCTTTTACCTTGAGGGTCCCATGTGAGGACTTGTCTCGTGATGCAGTTTGGTGCTTTTCGTAGTGTGTGTCCTATCCACTTCCACCACTTCTTCCTGATTTCCTCCTCCACTGGAATCTGGTTTGTTCTCTCCCACAGTTCGTTGTTGCTGATAGTGTCTGGCCAACGAATACGAAGTATTTTGCGTAGACAGCTGTTCATAAACACTTGTACCCTCTGGATGACGGCTTTCGTAGTTCTCCAAGTTTCCGCTCCATACAGTAGAACTATTATGACATTTGTATTGAAAATCCTGATTTTGGTTTACGTTGAAAGTTGTTTTTGGAGTTCCAGATATTTTTCAATTGTAAAAATGCAGCCCTTGCTTTGCCAATCTGTGCTCTCATATCTGCATCGGATCCACCTTTCTCGTCGATGATGCTGCCCAGATACGTAAAGGTGTTAACGTCCTCCAAAGATAAAGTCCTGAATCACAAGTGCACATTATGATTGTTTTTTAATGCTAAAATTAATTTGGAGATTATTGAGTGTCATTCAAAATCATGTGTATCGTCGATTATTGTTAAACTGCACGAATGAGAAGAAAACCTGTAAGCAATAAATAGACAGTTGTTTCATCCTATAGTATGAGATTCATCAGCAATGCATATCCATGACTTACGCTACTCACCGG